GCTGCCCAACAGCTGTCCGGTATCAACGCCGTCATCTACTACACTGGCACCCTCATCTCGAATTCCAACGGCCCCGACATCGAAAGTCAGCACGCGCTTGCACGAAGAAAGACGCAATCCTAGACCGTAACATTTGTGACTGCCAGTTGTGAACAATGTAGAGATACAGACGGAAGTTGCCAGAACGTGAATGAAGTGGCGAGGCTTGGTTGCCGGCAAGGCTCGAGGTTCGGGGTACGGGTATTGTGAGAGGCGGCGAATTTACCTCGAGTCGAGAGTTGCGGTGACAAGGCCGCCCTCTTTGTGCGAGCCCTTGTTGGAGCCGGTCTCGACGTCCGGGTAGTCGATGTCGGCGTTGCCTGCAGCGGCGGCGGCCTTGGTGTCGGCAGCGGCGTGGGAGCTGTCGATGCGCCAGCCGTCGGTGGTGAAAATCTCGTCGATTTCCTCCAGAGCTTTGCCCTTGGTCTCGGGAAGCATAAAGTAAATGATGGGAACCCAGCAGGCGTTGAGGATGGCAAAGATGATGTACGTCTTCCACTTGATGTTCTCCAGAGCGGAAGGGGTAAACTTGACACTTTCGGCAGGAAAGAAGAATAAAGGAGCTCCTGTCAGTACGAAAAGTCCGCTGATATCCGCTGCGAAAGGCATCGCCTACTTACACAACAAAGTTGAAGATCCAGTTGCTGGCTGTCGAGAGTGCAGATCCCTTGGTCCTGATGAGGAGGGGGAGCACTTCAGAGGGGATCAACCATACGGTTCCTTGGAATCCGAGCGAGAAGAAGAACTCGAAGACGAAGAGCATGGCGGAGGCTGCGCGGCCGTAGATGGCACCGCCTCCCTCCTGTGTTTTCTTGACCAGGCCGGTCTGAACGCACATGACGGCGGCCATACCAGCAATGCAGGGGATGAGGAGCTTCCTGCGGCCGACACGGTCGATGAGGAAGATGGAGATGGTCGAGCCGAGGATGAGGCACATGTTGAGGCCACCAGCGAAGAGGGCAGACTTTTTGCTGTCGAGGCCGATCGACTGGGAGAAGAGGGTGCCGGAATAGTAGATGAGGGCGTTGATACCGGACAGCTGTTGGGCAGC